GAATTTGGGGATATTTATTGTTAATCATTTGACTCAAACTTTATTCAACATGCAAGGGGTGGAAGAAGTGAAGAGAGATTGGAATAGAATGTGAAGAAAAATGATGTAAATGGAGGGATATGAAGAATTGGGAATAAGATGTATCCCCAACTTAAATGACGGAAAAAACCGACTCATGCATGAACCTAAGACATGGTCATGGTGACATATACTCAAAGTGTGTGCTAAGACTAGTGAGTGTAGGTAACATGTTAAGACTCTTGTTTAAGACCATGGGACTTAGTGCCAAAAATCGATTAATGACTCAACCAAGTATTATTGACAGCGAAAATTAACCGAATTATTTAGCAAATTGGTTAATTAGACACTAGGTGATGACTCAACCAATAATCCAAACTGTCGGCAAAATGACAGGACTGGCGTCGCACTATGTAGTGTAGCGCCAGACGACAGAGCTGTCGCCAGGCGCCACACTCCTCAGAGTGGCGCTACATTCAAGATTTTGGCGCCAATACTGGAGCTTCAATCTGGGATTGTCTTCGGTGTTATTAACCAACAGGGGTATGCCTGAAGTCGTACTAGGTCAATTCTGATTAAAATATTATACTTTATTTACTCAAATTAATTAATTAATTAATTAGGCAAAGTTCTTTAAGTCATTAATTTATTTAATCTCAACACAAGTCAAACAAACGGTTAAGAAAATATATATATATGCACAACAATTAATGCACGATTAGTCAAGTAGGCACAATATGATGCAATGAGTTTGCAACCTAACCATGGCTCTAGTTCTCTAAAGTTCGGGATATGGTTTAGTCAGTAGAGGGTCCATGGTTAATTGTCCGGATGCACTGCGCGGAAGCCTAACCGTGAAGGGTTGGCGCGAGTGGATGGGACACCGCGAGTTTTAGAAAAACTTGCTTCCATGGTTTGGCGAATTCAACATTCTCGGATGTACCCTTTGTTGCTCAGAGCGTTCAATCAGGTAGATGGAGCATGAATTCCCAGAGGGTTATGTCCATATGTAGAACACATATGGGTTTCAGAAAAGTGAGAAAAAATTCAATCAGGAAGTAGGATCGAACAAACAATACGAAAAACTAGTCAAAATTAGAACGCATATTTCTGGCTCGGTATTGGAAGAATTTGGCGCCAAAAAACAGAGACTGGCGCCAGGTTTTAGCTGTAGCGCCTAGCGCCAATGCTGCCGTCTGGCGCTACAGTTAAAATTCTGGCGCCAATGCTCTGGCCCCTGGCGCTAATTCCTACATGCCTCAGCAGCTTTCTGTGCTCGATAAAATTTTCCAGTTTCGCGCAGTTTTATTTCGGTCCTAGTTATGAAAGATATTTCTCAAATTTCCTACGTGTAAAATCCTATGTTTTTAACTCATTACGGATGGTCTTTCCAATGAGATCTTTTTTATGCATATGACAATAATGTTAATCAAAATTACGCACATGAAATACTTGGAACGTTTCGAGTCTCATCCACTCATTCTAAATCATTGCTGAAACAAATTCAGGAATAAAAATAGAAATCCTCCCCAGTGGAGTCATCAAAAACTGTGGGGAATAATTTCAAGCGTTAACCCCCTAGCTTGAACCCCACCGTGATCATACACTAAAGTACGGTGGCGTCCAAAAGGGAAGAAGATAGAGCAAAAGAGTCGCCAATAAGTTTTAGGAACTTGTAAACCGTTCACAGGGTGAAGGTTACACCCCTTAACGATCCAAGAGATCATCAACTCCATAAGGTCTTGAACCATGACTGGTAGTTCGGGGACGAAGGTACAAATCCAACCTAAAAGAGATTGAACCTGCCCTAATAATAGGCCTCTACTTTGTTCAGATCGTATTCATGTGCGCTTTTTGACTAACATGGAATCAATAGGATTAATCTTAAACCTGTTTAATCTATGTTGGTTGAATTTAATGCATAAATAAATATATTATTGGCGATCACTTGAATTATAATCATATTAACCCTAACAAGATTATTAATTATCTTATTAAGCGTGATTACAAGTACAAATTCCCTTTAAACATGCAATAAAAGGTGTGATCAAGCAATAAAAATATATATCAAGCAACATAATAATCATTATAATAATAATAATCATAACAATCATAATTAAAAATAATAATCATAACAATAATAATTTAGAATAATCAATAATAATTATAACAATTATAATCATAAATCTTAAAGTATAATCGTAATAATAATCATCATAATAACGATCGTAATTAATAATAATAATCATGTTAAAGCATAGCAAGATCCTAGGCATGATACTAACAAGATTAATAACAAACCCTAGCATGTTACTAAACAATAAAAATCAAATCTTTAACCCTAACATGATACTAACAATCATAAATATTAGGAAGAACATAGGAAGCATCGTAATAATCATATTTGACATTAAAATTACCCTATACATGATACTAGGAATCATAATAACAACCTAAGCATGAACTCTACATTATAACATCAATAAAAAAACCATTAAAGTACTTACTTTGATGCCTCGTACCTCTTTCTATTAACAAAATACAAGCGTTAGTAACTTTAAGGAAAATAATAATCAAACAATTAAACTAAATAATTGAAAGAGAGATTTGGGACCAAACCCTCAGAAATCAAACCTTTCACGTTTAGGGCAAAGGCAACTACGAATATGGCTAGGTGTTTCTAGATCTAATGAATGCGGAATTTTTTATTTAAAAGGCTAGTTTAGAAAAAGAGAGAGAGAGAAAGAGAGAGAGATAGAGAGAGAGAGAGAGAGAGAGAGAGAGAGAGAGAGTAATCAAGAGAATCTTGATGAGAGTTGGTGAATGATTATTGAAGAGAAAACTGGTTGTAGGTGAATTATTATTAAAAACTGGTTTTTTAGATGAAATCTGGTTATCGAAAACGGAGTTTTTAATACGTCATTTATAGAGAAAATCAACCAAAAAGATAAAATATCTAAACAGAGTCTGGCGCACAAAAAAAGAACCAGCTCCAACGCTGGCTGTTGGCGCCAGGCGCTACAGCTAGCGTTTGGCGCTGATTCAGAAAATCACGCATTTTCTTAAAATCAGATAAAAATTGCCGTTCAGGAGGATAAAATCGTATTTTCCTCAAAAATGCTCTTTGATTTTAATTAAAACTCTGGAAAGTCAACAAAAGTCAATTTATCAATGCTAATTGAATTAGGAATGAAAAGAACCTTCTAGAAGAATCTAGAAGACTAAAACCATTCCTAATTGCATTAGGAATGATAAATCATATTAGGCCCTCCCCTTGATCATTGGGCCGCATATAAGGCTCAAACCGGGCCTAGTTTAGTAAATTGGCCATAACTTCCTCAATATTCATCGAAATTGGGCTTATAATATATCTTGGAAAGCTCTTTTCAAGCCCTATCCAACTACACTACTATTGGACCCATATCATGGACCAACCAAACTGGATTGGCTGTTTTCTTAAAAATAAGTTTTCAAAAACATAGAGAAGATAAAAGAAATTTAAACTATCTGCAGCACTAAACTTTCCACACTTTCGCTTCATTCGATTATGGTTCGACGCGAAAGGTACTCATCACCGGGTTTGGTTTTGGGGAGACACAAATGGGTGTCTACAAGTTCCCTATGGAAAATTTCCCAAAGGATTGTCGTAGGTCTCTATTCATCATAAATTTAGGCAAAGGTTCCTCAAACGTGGATTGTCATTCATTTCAGTAAGTGGCAAATTTTCCCGAAGTGGATTATCGGTCGACTCTTTTTTGCAAATGTTCCAAGACGCGGATTGTTTATACTGACAATATTTTCCCTAAAGGATTGTCGCATAGCGTTGGCAAATTCCAAGGTGGATTTCTTTCAAGAGATATATTCCAAGATGTGGATTGTCGATCGTAGCAAAATTCTTATGACTGATTGTTACGAAGCATTGGCAACTTTTCCCAAAAATTAGATTTTGGCAAATTTTTCGAGATACGGATTATCGCTTCATCGTGGAAACATTTCCAAGGATGGATTGTTACGAAGCATTGACAACTTTCCCTAAATCGGATTGTCATACATCATACAAGAGTTGTGTTGGCAACTATTCCCAAAAAAAAAGAGGATTGTCATCACAGTAAAAGCACCGACATACTGGTTCACAAGCAGCAAAGCGCCGATACTGGCATAGCAGCATTAAGGATCAACAAGCAGTGATCTTTTCGAAGACTATCGCAGCGGAAATTGGAGGCAATTACAGGCGTAGCAGCCTTCAGGCGGTATTCTCTAGCTTGCGGAAGATCGTCACAACAAATCGGTTACCTTTAGAGACGTGTGCTCGACGGTGCAAGATACGTGTTTCCATCTCTTTTATCTTTTTAACTAATGCTAGTTTGCAGGTATCGGCGTTACAAGAATGATTTAGGATCGCAGAACGTTCTGAATCATACTCCGTCCCTATCGATACTTTGACTATCGTTTTCGAAACTCGCATTTCTCCAAACTCAGTCAAAGTGGGGGCTTCTGTAGACACCCAGATATGTCTCCCCAAAACCAAAACCAGTGATGAATACCTTTCATGTCATTTGATTATCGAACAAAGCAAAAGTGTGAAAAGTCTAGTGATGAGGATAATTTTATTAAAATATCTTTTCTTTCTGTTTTTGAAAATATTTCTTTTCTTACCCTATTTTTGAAAAACGTGTATTCCAGTTTAGTTTGGTCCCTGATATGGGTCCAATAATGGTGTAGTTGGATGGGGCTTGAAAAGACCTTTCCAACGATATATCCTTTAGCTATTGTTATCTACTCTCCCCATGTAGCTACGTCGTTTTGATCATTCTTGGTTTTTTTTTTTCTTTCTTTTTTTTTCCTGACTTTCCTTCTTTTATTTTAATTTTCCTTACTTATTGTTCAAGCTACCTATATATTTCAATTTCAACCTAATTTTTGTATTTTTGTCTCTTTTTTGTTCATTTTCTCTCTCTAGATCGTTCCTGTTTCTCTCAATTATGGATGGATTCGTGATTCTAGATGTTGGTCGTGATTGTGAACTTCAGCATTCTTCGATTTCCGAGTTTGATCGTCATTGTGAAGTTGTTTTTCCGTCTTCTACTGGATTGCTGAATTCATTTGTTGATCAATGTAAGTTGTTTTGATCATTTTTTATTTTGATTTGGTTGTTTTATGAATGTAATTAGTTTGATTATGATGAATGTGAGTTGTTTTGATTAATTTTGTTTCTGTTTTAGTTAATTAATGAATTTGATTTGTTTGATTATGATTAATGCTAGTTTTTTGAATTGATTTTTCTTTTGTTTTAGTTGTTTTATGATTTTGATTTGTTTGATTAATTTGTTTTTGTTTTAGATCAATTTAGTCTCTGTTTTAGCTTGATTTTGAGTACTTTGATTTTGATTTCTATTTTATTTTTATTTGTTATATAATTATTTGACTGTGTTTTTGATTTAGTTTTATTTGTGATTTTTGATTTTGATTGTTGATTACGGTACTGTGTATTATTATTTTGAATAGTTGAATAATTTTAAATGATCATTATCAATTACACTAATATTCAGTAATTTATTTTATTTAAATATTTTGATCATATTGATTATGCTAAATGATCATTTATATATGTACTGCTTTGTATTGGTACATACCTGTTATTTATTATGTTCATTTTTAAAAACTTATGCAGTGGGTACTAGTGATAAAATTATGTTTGAAGAGGCAACTAAATCAGAGTTACTTTATAAAGATTTTAATTCTGAAGAAGAATCTTATGATATTTATAATGAATATGCTTTTAAGCATGGATTTGGGATTAGAATTGATAAAAGTAAAAGTCGAAATGATGGCTCTTTGAAGATGAAAAGATTTGTTTGTTGCAATGAAGGTTGGAAGGATGAGAAGGCAAAGAATAAAAGGACTTATGAGAGACTTAATATAAGAACTGGTTGTTTGGCTTTTATTCAGTTTAAGATTGATCGTTTAGGTTTATGGACATGTACAAAGCATTACATGAAACATAATCATCATATGATTCCTCTTGAAAAGAGACATTTGTTAAGGTATCAAAGGAATGTTTCTAAAGAAAATTTGCAATTCATGTCTACATTGAGGTGTAGTGGAGTTAAAATTTCTGCAGCCTTGAGGGCAATGAAGAAGGATGTTGGTGGCTCTCCTAATTTAGGATTTACAGCACCGGATGCCTATAATGCTTTATCTGCTGAAAAACAAGCTTTACTTGATGGTTGTGACAGTCATCAATTGATCAAATACTTTGCTAAAAGACAACTTGATGAAGCTGAATTTTACTATGACTTTGAACAAGATGAGGATGGGTGTTTAGTTAACTTTTTTTGGCGTGATGGTCGGATGAAGAGAGATTATGAGTATTTTGGAGATTTGCTGGTTTTTAATACCACGTATAGGACAAATAAATATGGAATGATTTGTTCTCCATTTGTTGGTATGAATCATCATGCTAATAACCTCATGTTTGGTATGGGTTTTATTTTCAATGAGCGAACCGAGTCTTTTGTGTGGCTTTTTGATACATTCTTGAAATCTATGGGAAACAAAAGTCCTATCACAATTATGACAGATCAAGCTCAAGCTATTGCAGCTGGTATTCAGAATGTATTTCCTCCAAGTGTGCATCATCGTCTTTGTGTTTGGCACATTGAGAAAAATTCTAAGAAGCATATTGGGGCTTTGAGAGCTTTGGATGGATTTACAGATTTGTTTGGTTATTTGCTCAAGTATTGTGAAACCCCTGCTGAATTTGAACATTTTTGGAAAAGGTATTGACAATTTTTTTAATTATAATATGTATTTTCAAGTTTGTTTATTTTAGTTATATAATATGATCATTTAGTTTTGTATATATGTACATTTTATAATATAATTTGTTCATTTATACAATATCTAATGATCATATGTTTTATGCAGAATGTTAATGAAATATAAATGTGAAAAAGATTATTGGTTGTGTGATTTGTACAAGATTAAAGAGATGTGGTGTCCAGCCTATTCTAAGAAGCATTGGTCTGGTGGTGTTTTATCATCTCAACAAAGTGAAACTACAAATAAATCTGTTTCGGAAAGGCTTAATAAGACCCAAGGTTTGTGTGACTTCTACCATGTTTTTCTTGATGTTATCTCTGAGTGGAGGAGCAAAGAGAATGGAAATGATTTTAATACATTGAGGGGTAATCGTCATCTTGCTTTTGCTCATATTAGCATTTTAGTTCATGCTAAGTCTTTGTACACCATTCAAGCATATATTATTTTTGAAGAGGAGTTCATTAAGGGTACTGCTTATGAACATTCTGATGCTGGTCTTCATTTTCCTGAATATTCATACCATTTATGGAGATCTGGTAAAGATAAGATTAGGCATGAAGTTGTTTTCAACAAGGAAACTCATGTTATATGCTGCACATGCATGTACTTTAGTGAAATGGGATTGTTATGTTCTCATTCTCTTCGTGTATATCACTTAAATTGTGTACCTAAGATTCCGGATGAGTATATTATGAAGCGTTGGGCCAAGGCTGCAATGTGTACTCATACTACTGTTGATAAACCTTCTTCAAGAACTAATTTGGTGTCCTCTACTGTTTGGAGGTCGCAAACATTAAGGAAGTTTGTGAAGTTGGTAACTAGTTGTCAAAATTCTTTGCCTGCAAGAGCTGAAGTTGACCTCTATTTTGATATTTTAAAAGACAAAGTTGAGAGTGTTAGGGGTATAATTGCTTTCAATGAGGTTGCTGAAGGTGTTGAAATTGTTGATCATGAAGTTAATGATCCTCCCAAAAACGACCTGTTGGTGAGAGAAATGTTCGGCCTAAAAGTACTGTAGAAAAGGAATTTAATAAAGCTAGGGGTAATTGAAGGAAAAGAAAGTCTTTATATACACCTTACATGAGGGCTAAAGGTCAATCAGGAGTTCAGGTACTATTGAACATAAAGGTTTTTATATTTGATCATTTTATTTGATACTAATGTTTATTTTTTTTGTTTTAGGAATTTGATGATATTGGACTTCCTGTTTCTTATGCTAATTCTATGTGTGATTCTGATGAACTGGTTATATTGAAAAACCCACCTTCTAAGGTAATATTTTTATAACTTTTTTTTTCCTAAATTTGTTCATTTACGTTTTTAGGAATGATCATATTTCATGTTTTTATAATTTAGGTTGCTAGGAAGGCATCTTCTGTAGAAAAAGATCCTTATTGTTCTAATGACTTTGATGAAAGTATTTTTAATGGTTTTAATCAGGTATTTGTTTTTTAATTCTTTTTATTTTAAAAATTATTGGCATTATGTAAATATAATTTTTGTATTATTGTTTTGTTGGTTAATTGTAATTTTTTTTTATAGGTTGCTATTGAAAGTTCTTTTGGATCCAATTTATCTTTTGATGAAGATATTTCTGCTCTTGCTAAGGTTTATTTACTCTTTTTAAATGTCATTTATAATTTTTTTTATGTATATTTATATTTATTATAATGCTTAATATTTTTTATCCAGGAGAAAGATTTAAATTTTTCAAGTAATGCTCATGCTTCTTCAAGTGTTCCTCCAAGAAATGTTCAAGTTCCTCCAAGAAATGTTCAAGTTTCTGCAAGAAATGTTCAAGTTCCTCCAACAAATGTTCAAGGTCCTTCAAAAAATGTTCAAGTACCTCCAAGAAATGTTCAGTTACCTCCAAAGCCTGTTCAAGTTTCTGTTCCATCGTCAAGAAGCATTGAAGTTACAGCTTCTTCAAATGATGAACAAGTTCAAGGCACTCAGCGTGGTGGTCAACATGTTTCTTATAAGTATGATAGGTTTTTAGCATTTTTTGATACTAATGTAGCTAAGAGGTTGGCAAAAAATAACAAGTAAAAACTTGTATTGCTGAACTATTTTGCTCCACTTTAATATTTTGTTGCAAGATATGTAATTAAACATATTTGATTTTTGTAATGATCATATACTTTATTGGTAATGAACATTTTTATTATTTTGTTTTATTAAGTATTATATATTCAAGAATAAGAGCTAATTTATAAAATTTGCAATTTTCATATAAACTGTATCTTAAAAAGATAAAAATATTGTTTGCATTCGAATAACCATAAGAAATATAACATAGAATACTTTGTGAAAAATAAAAAATCTGTATGTCTATATTTAAACATTGATCATATGCATATTCGTAAATGAACATGTCAAATTAATCCTTTGCAAACTTTCTTGCTTTTCTTCTATTTATCATTACTTCAGTGTTTTCTTCAAATAGCATCAGCTCTGCTACGTATTGTATCCTTAGCTTTCTAATTTGGTTCACCTGTTGAACAAAATAAATTAAAATGATTATTATTTTGTACCTTTTTTTATAAATGAACATTCTATATTATATAATTGAACATTTAGTATACTTATATTGTTTGGTTTTAAATCACATATCCAACTTTCATTAGGATCACCAGTGAAGGTTTCCATGTGCTTCATAATGTATACACCACAGTTTGTATGATCCTCGTTGCTACGCCATTTCATCTTCTCCAAAACAATTTTGTACTCTTCAATTCTTCAGCATCTTCATACCCAAGGTGTTTCATGAATCCTGCCAATCCCTTAAGCTAATAAAAACAATAGTAAAAAATACTTAGTATTTGGTATTGTGTAGAATACATGAACAAATAGAAACAGAAACTGATCATTTAGCCAAACAAAAATGAACATAATTACTCACCATCATTTTTGGTTGCTCTTCATACTTTGATTGGACTGAGATATGTTGAGGTAGTTTCCTATTATCAATAATATGAATTTTCTCTTCCATATGATTGATGCACAATAGAAAAAAATGCTCAGAAGTTGAAACTGGGAAGAAAACCTGAACAATATTATATTGTTATTGATCATTTTACTATTCATAATTGAACGCTTTTATTATGAACTTTATGGCAATACCTGTTTGTATCCAACAAGGCTATCAATCTTATTCATTTTCAACTCATTGTCAATTCTTTCTATGAAGGCATGAATTCTTTTTTCCATGGATGAACCTGCTCTACAAATTCTATTTGTACACATAATGTGTTGTTGAAATAGAAACAATGATATATAAAATTAGTGAAAATTTTGTATAAAATAATCATATAAAACAACACTTGGTATAAAAAAAAAAGTAAAACTAACGTGAAGCATTGTTGAGAAGTAAATTTTGTTTTTTGGCTTTTTATGATTAAGAACTCTTGCCCAGCCATCTATCACACAATTTGTTACTTGAACATCATCTCCAAGTATTTTCATTTCTTGTCTATTGATGAGATTCAAGCCATCATAATATAAAAGTGCACTGAAATATGAACATTTCGTAATATATATATATATGAACATATTGTTAGATAATATATTCCACTTTAATTAAATTAAAGTAAGTATTTACCTTTCATCTTCACCACTGAGAGCAAAGTCTACTACAATTTGGTTCATTGTTTTCTCATCTTTGAATAGGTTTTTGTACTTGATCATGTACGGAGATCGGAAAGCATGAGGAATTGTTTGCTTTTCATGTTGAGGTCTTGATGTTCAACAAATGTACTATAGTTATATTAATAACATTAAATGAACATTTAAATGTATATAAATAAATTTGAAATTATACCTTTCAACTTTTTCCTTTCCAGCCTTTTTACTCTTTTCTGCAATTGGGTTTTTCTTTTCATCATTCCTGAACATATTAAACAACACAATTGAACATTTAATAATCTATAAATGTTCATTATAATTTAACATTGAAAACAAATGAGTATTTACTTATCTGAAAATGTTCATTACTATTTAAAATTGTTTACCTATCCATGAGTTTCCTTAATGAATCTTTTTCCTTGTTCTTACTGAAATATCAAAGGTAGTTAGTAGGTACATAAATGTACAATCATACAACAATAAATTTTCATTCTTAATAACCTCTTGAAAATACCCATCATTTTTAAACATTCTGATATTGGAAAAGTTAAAAACTTTAATTACATAATTTAAATATAACAATTATACATAATACTAATTGTTCTTAGCAAAATAAATTACCATAAAACAAATTGTTCTTAGAAAAATAAACACTACTTCTTCATCCCCAAAATAAAACACTGTGCTTACTTATTACATATTTAGATTGTTTTAAATATACATATCCACTTAATACATCTTGAAAGTTTGGTGAGGTTTTTCATATTACCCCTGTCCTCCTTGTTTGTCTTTTTCCAATACATCTTCATTCTTTCCTCCTATGCTCAATTTCAAATCAATATCATCAGGAGGAACTGTAGAATAACCCTTATTTGGATCACCTAAAAAAAATAACACTTTTAATTATGTGAAAATAAAAAATTTCTTGTATTTTTAAATGATCATTATACTTATTTTATATGACCATCTTATACCTGAGGCTGAACTTCCTTCATTAGCCTTTTCAACTGAATCTATAGCAGAGGCTACTTTTCTTTGTTCTGTAAAATATGTTTAATTTATTTTAAAAATTCAATTATTGAAAATAAACAATTATAATGAAATATACTTGTAAATTATCATTATATTCATCATATATGAACATCTTTTACCTGAAGCTGAACTTTCTTCAATAGTTTTTTCAGCTGTTGTTGTAGCAGGGGCTACATTTCTTTTATCTGTAATATGATCAATTTATTTTAGACATTCAAATATTGAAAATGAATACTATGATTATTAAGTATGAACATATTGAACCTATAGCAAATGTTCCTTCATTAGCCTTTCCAGTTGATCCTGAAACTGTTTGCATTGGGGGTTCAAGAATCAAGGCCTGTGGTGAAGAACTAGGACCTGTTCCTGTTTTGAATTAAATTTTGTTAGTTAAACAAAGTTGTTAAATTAAAAGCGATGACATGATGCTTAAAAAAGAATATGATTTGTATTTACCAGTCGCTGGAGACGGTGGAGTTAAATGGAAGGCAAATGCTTTTCGTACATCATAATCCTGCTTTTTCCAGTTTCTAGTTTTGTTCAAATCAGCTGCTTCCATGAGATCTTTTTCTATTTGAGCAATTACATTCAAGAACTCCTCTGATTCATAGAACTCTTCATCTTGGCTTAGGATTGATTGCTCCCTTGTAGCCATTCTTCCTAAAACTTCATCAACTTTTTTCACCAAATGATTTTCTGGAAATATTTCCTTTGCCTTCATCAATTTTCCTGAAAGTCTTGAAAGGTTTGTACTAGTCTCTTTCACTAGGCTAACAAAATCATTCAAGAAAACCTATATTGCAAATCAAATTATAAGAATTATTAAAATAAATTTATTATAAATAAACTGAACATTTATGTCATCATTATTGATCATTTTCCTAACCTCTGGACTTTCTTCCACTTTTACAGCAATTCTAGGTAAGATTTTACCTCTACCAAACCCCAGTTCATAATCTATTTTCAACCTCTCAAGAACCATGTCTCTTTTCCAAACAGATATAATGGGGAATGTTCTTGGAGGCCGTTTGTCCAACCTTTGAACCCTATCAAAGTAAAACAGCTACAAGACAAAATAGAAAATGTACATCAATGAAAATACAAATGAACATAATCATAAAATGAATGATCATTTTACATATTATAAATGAACATTTTATAAAACCATATATTACCATCAGAAATTGCAGAGGGCCTTTGTAGAACCCCTTTCCATTCTGCTTTCTCCAATCAACATGACTCTTTATTAGTGAATCAAAGACATACTGACACCAATTTAAATTTCTTATTCTTTCTTTGTCCATCATTGAAAAAAGAAACTTGAAATGACATTGATTTTTTGATATGCACTTTATCATGCAGTTCACAACAACTGCCAAAAAATTGGTTATGAAATGTTCACTTGGTGGTCTGTTGTTCTTGAATTTGTCATGGATGTATCCATTCACAATCTGTGAAGCAAATGAACAAGACAATTACTATTAATGATCATTTGGTGTATTAAAAATGAACATTTAAAGAAAGTAAGTGATTATACCTGACTCACTGATGGAGTCTTTCCTCCCCATGACTTTCTCCATTTCTTCAGAAATTCTGCATATACTTCACTAGCTTTATCAGACTTTGCCTCAACAATTGGAATTTCTCCCGTAGACAATCCATAAACTACCTTCACATCCTCTACCTCAACTTGAATTTTTCATTCTTTGGCAATTCAAAATTCTGACTATTCTCTTCAAAACTATCCAATACCCAGTTACAGAACTTTTGATCAAGTTGTGGTAAATTGATTTCAAGAAGTGATCCTAAACCTATATCAACAATTTCTTGTTTTTCGGTTTTTGTCATCTTATTTACCCATGATATGAACTTGACATGTCCCCCCCCCCCTTTTTGATGATCTTTCTTCCTCAAACTCCTCTTCCTGAATTTCCTCAATCTCATCAGTTTCACCTGCCAAAACTATTTTTGTTTTCATCTTTTTTCTCCCTCTTTCTTCACTCTTTTGTTGATTATACACTACTAACTTTTTATCCTCCTTCTCAGTTTCTGCCTTAACTTTCTTTGGCCCCTTTTTCATTACCTTTTTCTTCTTTGATTTTACTTCAACTTCCTCCTCCTCCTCCTCCAATTCATCATCTTCATCATCAATAAGCTCTGTTTCAGCTTTGTAGACAGAATCTTCACTGTCATCACCACTGTCAGTGGAATCTTCATCAGAAGGATCCTGAGATGGTTCATCAGATGGAACTTCCTCTATTTTTTTCCTCTTCCCAGCAATCTTCTTTGCAGGGCTGACAATTGAAAATGAATATAAAAGTCATTAACTATGAACATTTAAGTTATTGAAAATGAACTTTAATAAATTAAATTTATCTAAATAAATAAATATG